ACTAAGTAGCGTACGATGTTGTAGCTCACTTTCCATTTTACCATCGCGAGAACAAGTTAAGATTGAGATTGACGTACATTGTTTAACCTATCGACCTTTTTCAGGAGCTATAGTCAATGCGTACGCCATCCGCTCGTACACAATGCCCGGATGGCTTATTTTCTCGTCTGTATAAAAGCGGCTAAGGACGCTTAAACATGAAGTCTCCTCGATTTAAATACTTCAATTCGTCGCTTTGCATGATACACTATTCGCTAATCTAGCTCTATATAAAATCCCGTCTGAATGAATGGAGGGTGGTTAACTTCGTCTGCACTGAAGTCACGTTCTTTAGGAGGAATCCGAGGCGTGAGTGGTACTTAAACTCTCAAGTTTCTGCCACCCTCTGTCTATCTCTACAGAGCAGCGACATAATATGCTTGTTGGTTGCAGTTTGTGTATGTATATCAGCACAATTGATGCCCACATTTTATTTCATTGTACAAATTCAATATATATCTGCCCTGCTCAATCATAGAACACCTTAATCCGCTGATCATCTGCATCGGCTGTGTGGACCACCCCGGCCATCTACAAACAGCAAGTATCTTGATGAAGAAAAAAGGGAATGGCGATCAATCTTTCTGCAAACGACTTTGTGCAAACTGCGATCTTAGCAAAGTAGTAAGTAGTGCAGTGGCAATCGCGGCAGCTTCTGCTGGTGTACGTGCTACAATGTTTACAAGCCTATTTAGATGTAGGGTATCCTCTCCAAGCGTATCCTGCAATTTGCTCACAGATAGCAAAAACGTTTTTTTTTCTTTTTGACACTTTCTGCATATCTTTTTTTGTAAATTAACGAGTGGCTGTCTATTAAGCAATGTAGATGAGGCGTGTAAGTGTCGCTTATGAATGGTGGTATAATACGCCGCATGTGTAAATGACACATCCTAACTGCAAGATACCTACATCTCACCTGCAAGGATTGTGTCTGATTAAGAAGCTTACTGGCTCTTCTCATTTTCGTAATGAAATTGCTCATCCAAACTTGCTCATGTCATCAGCTATTTCTGAGGAAATGAAGCGATACCAGTCCAAATTGTGCACATGCCATTATTAATGGTCTGCGCTTACAACGCACGAGTCTAATCAAGACCAGTGGTGAGCCTATTCGATACGAAATATAGCGAATAAATGCGATTCATTTTTTTCACTCGCAATTCACATGATATCTTAAAAACCAGCGTAGTCGAAATCAAAGCGAACAGATGCAAATGTTGAAACCATAAATTCTAGGTTTTCAATACGCTTCTGCATACACTTGGTTCACGTGGAAGAAAAGCAGCTCTGGAGAGTTCCGACAACATCTGCTGCGGTTGGTCGGAGAGCTGCTTCGTGCTGCCAGCATCGCTGAATGAGATTTCGAAGAAGCTGATAAAAACTATAATTGGTACTTCAGGAGAGTAAATTATGAGGTAGATTCGTCCTACCAGTGGTGTCTTGGCCGATATTATGGGTCGTCTTCTTTCCTGCACGACTGCAAGTGGAATTTGAGGCGGAGCTAGATCCTTAAAAGGCGCAGCAGCCTCACAAATTTCCCAGAGAACTACACCAAGGCTGTACACGTCTGCGGACAAGGAGTACTTCATACTCGTTAGGACTTCACTATAAATTACAATAACCAATTTTTGAGTTTCGTTGCTTCAACATTAGCAGTATTTGCATTAAACGTACGGAGCCATCCACTGAAATGTACCACAACACCCCGTCATCAGTTCTGTCTGATCGTTTGATCGCGACCTCCCAAAATCTGATCTCGAATGATTAAACGTTGCTAATCTGCACCACATATCGATAAATATCCATACCAGCTAGTTTGACACGACCTTCAGCCGTCATTAGCAAATTTCTTCGATTCGTTATGCTTGTTAGACTGCCAAATTCGATAAAGGAGTATAAATTACTTACAAAGATTTTAGATCCCTGCGCCAACAAACGAGTGCAAATTTCACTGTGGTGAGTGTCTTTAGGCTGAAAGTAGAGCTTGAAACCAACCTATGAATGATGTCAAAGGAATGTAGGAACTGCAATCCTCGAGCAATATCCAGCTAATCATGATCCAAAAGCTGTAAAAGGCGAATAAATACTATATAAATTGCAAGAAAACATACCATCAGGCGAACTCGAACGGTCCAGGACACTGGAAATGGTGGTATTCGACGCGCCTTGTCAGATACGCCATTTATAAGCTCGCTAGTAAGGAAATAGAGCGCTTAGTACTGATACCCTTAAACTTATAGCAGCCAGCATTAATGTACAATAGAGAAAATGGAAGGTATTCTAGCACGATTGAAAGTGGATTCGAGCAAACCGCAAAAAAAGTTACCAGAGACGGATTGGGGCCAAGCTGCTGCATCACATCTACTTCATTAGCAAACTCGCGTTCTCTGCAGCTGCGATCAGTATTTGTGAAACTGCGAGTGCTTCGTTTAGCAAAAGTTGCACGAATCCTGTTTTACAGTCAGACTTACGACTTCACTGCAACCTCTGCTCCCCGCCAAATACCTTTGTAAACTTGACAGCTACGATTGAAGTAATTATTCTCAGTCTTTGATCATTTTCTTCTAAGCACATGACACTCAAATTGCGCACCTGCTCCCAGTCCCAACGTACTTTTGAACACCAAGATCCTTCCAGTCAACCTCCCGAATCGTGGTTCCTGGTTTAAGAATCTTACCTAAAGAGTGCGATATTAAGTGGCGCCGCGTACTTGAAAGCTCCGAATGTATATTATGTAGCTGCGTAGTAGAATGATCATACAATCCTAGCAAATCCACTTCGCCAACAGAAGCAGGATAGAGACATTTCGGAAAAACAGCCAAACTTTCGACATTTCTCTTTGACGATACGCAGTTTGGCTCAGTAGAGCCCGCATGGGCAGAAAGGCTGCGTGATATCTGACCTAAAGATCATCAGATCAGAAAATTAATGATTGTAGCAGTGCAGATATAGGATATGTGTAACCTTGAAGGAGGATGTAAACGACGGGTAAACTGGTGGAGAAAAGCCATTTGATGTCCTATTGGCAATCGCATTAAATTCCCAGTATTATGAATGAGCAATTTAACGCAAATTTACGCCCACCTCGTCTGACCTTAAAAACATCGCATCTTGTGGACTTCATTACGTTATCAATAATTGGCACATTTTGCATGATTCATTCCAAATATAATCTTACCTTCTGAGAAGCTTCAGGGATACTTCAGGGTAGATAGCGGCTGGAATGTGGCGTTCAATAACTTGGCGAAGCTGTAGAATTGTCGAAATCATTGGCACAAAAAACTGTTTCGCTGTTTCCATCCACTTGCATCGGAAGAGCTTGCGCTGTAAATCGTCTACACATCACGTATCAGCCAATTGTATTATCTTCCAAGTAAAAATGGCAGCACCGTTTCCAAATTTGTTGTAGTTAATAGTTGGCGTGGATGGTGGCGACAGCAAAGTATGTACAGGGTGTACGGGAGAATGGCCTTTTACTTCACGAAACGCTGTGGATCCATCAACTTTAAGGCACAAGTCTTTTATCATAAGACAAAGATTATCCATTTGAGGCCATCCTTCTTGCATCAAGCTTAGATGACCAGTCTTAGTTGATAAACGAGTTATTATTGATCAGTGAGCGAAGCACCATGAAATCTAAACGAGGCCTAAATTTTCATGTGACCTTACATCAGCATCTGTCATGCGGTAAATCAAAAGTGATTGAGTCGGGAATAGCGGCGATACACGAATAATAAAATTGGTCCTTCCATTGACACCCCCAGCAGCGCAAGGCTTACAAATGGGGCGGGAGCAAATTTTAAATCAGTAATGTGAGATTGTGAGATCAAGCATGAATTGGCTTCGAAATGGTTACATTTTTCTTGAGTATTGCAAGATGAACATCAATGCCATCGCATTGCGTCACACCTGTTCTTAGAATGCAAAGGCTATTCGAGTCATATTGGAACCAAAGATCAAATTACTGACTTTCTTAACGACTTACCCGTCCACGCGAGGGAATTTATTTAACGCTTGTTGAGATTGCACGTAAGCGATCATGCTTCGTACCTGATGCTGCGTCGACTACGGATTACATACATATTGTCAGGCAAAATTATTGATATGAGCTCCATGCGGATGGCCTACGTCAGGCAGAAAAGAAAGGTCCGGGACAGCTTGTACGCATCGCATGCTTTTGTCGACGTCTGGTGAAAAGCAGCCGATAATTTAAGCTTTGAATGTAACGGCTACTATAAGAAATAAATTGAAGACATCTAGGCTGAGACCTACTAGAATGATGTTTTCTGCTAGATGCATAACATTGCCGCTGTAAGCAACTTTTAACGCGATTTGATAAGCCATTTGTTTACCGATATTGCGGCACCTATTCGTTAGCAAAACTATGTTTTATTTCTTTTTTGTCTAGCAACAATAGCAATCACCCTACCAATCGTCAAAATGACTCCTTTCTTCGCCAACATGCCATTGCAGTCTTTTCTACTACTGCCTTTGGTGACGTTGTATTCGAAAGAACTTCACAACAAACGATGCTGAAAACGACTGACAGACGCAACCAACGATGTTGTCAGCGAAGCTTCGCTACGGCAGCAGCCAAACAGGAGTAGCTTGAAACATGGTCTTCGATGCTGCCGGAATGGCAGTCGATGATATTAAAGTTAGGTCAATGGAGCTTCAATACGATTACGTGCGCCATAAGAAATGCTGAATTCTGGTCATTAACGCGAGAAACTGCATACTTCTGTGCTGACAAATTGGCTAGTCCGGTCAAAAGTCTCTCTTTAGCCTCCACATCCTTGGTACTCATCAGCACTGTGATTGTAGGTGCGTGTGATTATCCTCGAGAATCTCGTACAAATGCCGATCTCTGTCAATAAAAGAAATTTGGTATTACATAAAATGTGGCCAAATGGCGATTGGTCAATTAATGCTCCGCTGTGACATTCCAACAAAGATGTGGCGAAGCTCATGGCACACAGCTCTTCGTGCTAAAAGCCGTGGTGATGCGCGGTATATCCAGCGAAAAATGGCAAATGCAAAAGCTTCTCCTTCATCAGCTACTTATGCCTTAGCAAGCGCCAGTCTCGCAGTGGCAGCAATTATAACCTACAACACACGAGGTTGTACATGATGGTGGTGACAAAAGGGTCAAACTTGTCAAATTCATAAAAATGTTTCTTGCACACTGTTTTAGAGAAAAACACACAATTCGAGGCAAAATTAGGGAAGACTAGTGTGTTATCGCGCAATTTCATTGCTGATGCTGTGGAGAAAGCGTTTCCTGCTGTCGTAAACATTGCTGTAGATTCAGGTGAGTTTTATTTTCACTAAAAATGTTGGTGATTTGGTTATTGGTGATACATTTCTACAGGATATGTTGGTAGCAATGGTTCGGGATTCATTATTACGCAGAAAGGTCTCATCGTCACGAATGCTCATGTTCTTGCGCGATGCAACCGCTACTCTAAGATTCAGGTTCCGCATTCGGTAGTAGATTTGTGTGATATGTAGCGTACTGACGAAGAAATTAATAATGGCTGGCAGGTAACGTTTGCGGATGGTAAAAACTACCCTGCTGTGATCCATAGTACGGATCCTTTATCAGATATCGCACTTTTACAAATCAAGTCCGACGAAGTAAAAACGTGGCCAATGATATCTATCGGCTCTTCTTCAGAGCTGCGTGCAGGTGAGTGGGTGTGTGCTCTTGGAAGTCCATTTTCGCTACAAAACAGTGTAAGCGCTGGAATCATTAGCGCCGTAGCACGGCACAGCAGCGAGCTAGGCTACCCCCAGAGGGGCGGCGAGTATATTCAGACCGACGCAGCCATCAATGCTGGAAATTCTGGTGGCCCGCTTATCAACCTCGATGGTGAAGTAATTGGCATTAATACTATGAAAGTTGATGGCAGCGTGGGCATCTCGTTTGCCATTCCGGCTGATACTGCAGTTCAGGTAATTGAGCAGCTACGCAAGCACAAGAAAGTTGTGCGACCGTACATTGGCATGCAAATGATCAATTTTAACACGCGTGAGCTAAAGGAAATCAGCCGCATGTTTTCGGACGTAACAGAAGGTGTCATTGTTAAGTCCATTACTCCAGGATCGCCAGCTCACAAGGGAGGCTTGCTACCAGGTGACGTTATCGTCTCGTTCGATGGAAAGAAAGTGCGGAATACAAAGGACATTCTTACAGCGGTCGGCTATATCATTGGCCGTGATATTCCTATACATGTCAAGCGGCGTGGAAAGAAAGATCTAGTCAAGCTGAAGGTTACAACAGGACCGATGCCGGCTATGATGGGAGCTCTGTAGTCGTATAATAAGGGATATCCGAATTACGGAACTTCCACAAAATCCTGATACTGTTAATATATAACCACTTTTGGATTAAGTTTTGCATATGGAAATCATGTTGTACATATATTTGATGTTGGGACAAATGAATCAAACAAAAATATATTCCGTCTTAGATCTAATCCCAAATATAGATCATTCATGAAAAAGCAAAGTAACTTGAACCAAGTTACACATAAGGCTCTCAATTCCGCTACGTACAAACCCAGCCTCTGTGCAATTGCAAGCGCGTACTCGTTGAGTCAAAACCCTTCAACTAGACTACCCAAGTAAATTATTTGTTGGTCTTGACGGGCACTGGCGGCCAAAAGGCTACTGGGGAAATCGCTCTCCTCGAATGTTCACCAGCTGTAAAAATGCGCAGATGAGACGCCTCAAAAACTACCACCGCTTTTATGAAGGCGGCAGCCGTCACATTTCATGTGGAGTACAACATAAGCTCCGCGAGGGCCGGGTGGAGTACTGAAAACAGAGGCTCAATGAGTGCGCTAGATGTGATGGTATTCAGCCATGCTGAGGACGACGAGCAATTAGCGACACTTCCAGATTTTCATCTGTGAGAATGCATCTGCACCTTTTGCACACCCTTCGCTCTCGCCTAGAAGTGAAAGGGTCAGGCTCCCATGCAAAAGCATCAAACAAAACTCGCTCGGGGAAACGTCGAGCCTCAGCAGGTACAGGGCTGGCTGCTGGGAAAAACGTGGGTTCATTTTTTCTCTTTGGAAAATGTGGTCAATGAGACCAGCCTTCAAAAGAGTGACTCATTCTGATAGAGGTGGGGCTGACAGACCTGACTTGTTTGTTCTTGATATTAACGTCTCGGGATTTGTGAACCTGCTTAAAGTAATACTTCAGGAGCGTCGTACAATTAAGAGCGACACGTGACTGCCGAAATGATAGACGGCACGAGCAGCCATTTTTGCGACAAAGATGTGGGTAGAAATGTTTAAGGTTTTTAGCGACTGAAAGTAAAATCTGGAGACTTCAAAGTGTGAGAAAACCTTGTCTAATACTGGACCTCAACTCGAAATACAATCTTGATGGCGTGGCTGGGACGCCACGTAAATGCTAGATGTTTCTTTCTGATGAAGTTTTGGTGAGTCATAAAATCACATTTGACAGAATCAGAGCATCTTTTGGCGCGGGCACGAAATTGAGATAGCATTCGTGAAGGCCATGTGGATATCCATAATTGATAACAATAATATTGCGAGTTGCCTCGAGCAGAGGTCAAACGGCAAAAAGGTAAATGCGTTGAGGTCCCAGGATGAGACGGAGAAATCGATTGTATATCACGGTCTCCAGAGTGTAGCTGCGTCGAGTCAGGAAAAGACGACTGTATGTTAAGGACCCAGAGTGCTCTCTAGTGGGACGGTCGAGCATAGCTGGGAGCTAATGCCACCTAGACCAGAGTTGAAAAAGACTGGATGTCGCAATCTCCAGCTCCAGAGCGGGTGAAGCTGAAGGCGACTACGAGTCGCGAGTAAAAGGTCAAGAATCTGCATTTCAGACATATGACCATTTCTTTACATGACGTGATGCTACTGCTGAGTCAGCACTACCGTGTGGTGGGTCATCATGCAGATTGACAGTGCTTCACCGGTAAGTAGCCGGCAGACTTATTCGCTCGTGAATGGGGTGATCTGGGTAAATCTAGGGGTTAAAGCACTCCCCTCATTAGCTTTGGAAGAAGCTTTCGATAAACTGGAAAATGTATTTTTCTCAGGAATATGTGCAAGAGTTTCCAGAGCGGAAGAAATCTTACCGAAATGGTATGGTTGATACCGAAGGTGTAGCTGAGCTCGTCGTCCATCATAAATGAATATTTCATCAATGCCACTTACGGAGCCCTGAGTACGAGCTTTCCTCAGTAAAAAATGCAATCAATTTCATCCTTAGCTGTAGGGATATCTTGACGTGATGATGAGAAGTTCATCACCCGTATTACCCTCACATAGGGAGCGCGTCAAGAAATTGACCTGGATCCTGGAGCAAAATAGCTTTACTTGCTTTCGAAGGGAACGGTGTTACGTCATTGACGTCTCCTGCAGTGTAAAGCACGTCACGATCTTGGTACGGCGCCGACATTATGTGTCCGAAAGGCTATCGACAATTAGCAAACATATAATGAGCATAATCTAGCCATTATTCTGGCTGAACAGTATACCTCACGAGTAGAAGTGCTACAAAACCACAAGATTGACTGCACTTTGTTCCGTGCCCACCACCTGCTTGATGGTTATAATCATTTGCTGGTGCGAGAGATAAATGCATTAACTGTGTGGGTACTCCGAGCGGGATGCTCTGAGAGTGACTCGTCATGCTATAGTGACAGTTGAATGCTTCAGGAACGCTCAGTCGTCTAGTGAGACAGCTGTTCAGGCTATATCATGGCTATACAAAACTTTTTTTCATCGATACACGCGCCCATTGTCGTGCAGATCACGGGAAGTCAGATGTGGAGAACTACATAAATCACTTGCGAGTGGTGGTCGAGTGTATGTGCTCAAATGAGATGTTCGCAAGTATGTCTTTGGGGCCGACAAAATTATTTTTTGTTGCTTTATTAGATAGCAAGGCCTGTTGGCGACTTCCGCAACGGTTAGGATCACTTAAGATTGGCAAATGTCTCCGTTCAAAAAGACTTGATGGTGTTGCTCGGACTGCCCAAATACTTGCACAAGTATAGTGCAAAC